AGCTGGATGGGAAGCAGGGCTGCTGGGATTAGAACTAGCACCCAAATGAGATCCCAGTGTGTGCAAGGCAAGGGGGCTGGGCACGGGCCTGGGCCCACAGTTTTGAGCATCAACTGCTTCCTTTCACAGTAAGAAAGAGGAAGCTGAATGAGAGCTGAGACTGAAGTCGGGCACTCTAACACGGGCTGTGAATGTTCCAAGAGGTGTTTTATCTGTTCTGACAAATGCCTGCCCCCGACCAGTGTTCTTGACAATTTGTCTAGATACTAATTTATAGGTCGGAACCCATAACCTACTAGAAATCATAAGGAATTCCTTTGTTGACATCTAGCTTTCCGTGTTGGCACAGCAGGTCTGCTTGTGGTGACTGATGTTTTTCTGTGAATTTTTGGGATCTGCCCTTTGACCTCGTGTCCAGAGACTTTGGAGTGACATGCCTTGCTCTTGTAAGCCTTTGCTCATTTGTTGTACAGAAGTCCCGCTCAGCCATATCTGCACTGAACATTCATGCCTTTTCCCTGGAAAATTAAAGTGAATTCTTTTTGAGGTAATATCCTTGTTTTAACTTTCTGTTTTTCTTCATTTGTGTCTCTGAACTGATTCTTGTTTGTGTATTCGACTTCTGGATCAGCTCTCTAATTTTCTGATATTTGGTTTCTATCAAAGGGCACTTGTGTGTGCACATGGGTTCATTGTGTATTTGCATCCTTGACAACTGGTATTTTTCAATGAGATAATTGGACAGGTGTCGCCGTTTCATTGAGAAACCATTAAATGTTATTCTGTGTGCCTTTCCTCTGGAGAGTGTGTGTGTTCCCATGGAGACCTTCTGATCTCTTGCCTCATCCAGAGTTGTGAAGTGACTCAGGGCAAAGGGTTTACCCTTGATTGTACAGTTTTTTATTCAATTGTGTTATTTTGAATAAGCACACCACTTAATGGTATGATGTCTCCCAGACCAGACTTGGATTGGGAACCTTGAATGCACTGTGTGGGACAGAGATCTGAGGATGTTGGCACTCCTTTCTAGAGACCTTCAGCCAGCACTCCACAGTTTTTCACTCCCTCCCGCACTTGCCGTAAGGCCTATCTGGTGCCTTCTGTTCTTAAGCTTTTTAAGGGTCCTCTGATATAAACTGCTGTGTGCCTATTGCGGTCTGCTGTCTGAATAGGAAAGCTCTTAGCAGAATGGAGAAAGAGAAAACTTAGGATAGTCACCTCTTGTCCTCCACTTTGAAAAGTCTGTAAATATGTGTTACCTGCTCTCCTGTCTCCTCTGCTCTGTGGGTTTCTTCCCTTTCCGTCCTTGAGTATCATTTCAGGGAGGTTTAAGGCGAGGTACAATCCTCAAGGTACAGCTGGAAGACCCTAACTGTCTATCTCATTTCACTGTACTTTCATTATAAAGCTCAAAGAAGGTCTCTTTGGTAAGCAGTGCATGGAAGGGCTGGTTTCTCTAAGCTTAGAGTTGTGTGTTGACAGGTCCGTCTTTGCTCTGCAGTCAGCTGGGAACTCTGCAGGCTTCGACAGCGAGCCGTTCCACACGGTGGGCAGCGCGGTTGACCACCGTGCACTCAGGTGCTGGGTTGTATTTCTCATACCTTTTTTGGGGGTAGGAATATACAAATGCTTAAGCACACCCATTCTGTCGTGGAAACGAGAACTCAGCCTACTCCCCCTTCGTTGTCCTGTGCAAATGTAGCTCTATTTTCTGGTCTTATAAAACCGTCGAAGGTAGTATGTTCTTTAGAGCAGCAGGAAAAAAATAGTTCGGTAGTGTGATTCTTGTGTCTCATAAAACATGATACTTTCAATAATTGTGGCTTTGTAAACTGGTTCTAGCTAGGTGCCTGTAATGCATTTTTTTGAGGGCCTAATTGGGACTTTGTTACATTTTATTTAATTTCTATGTTTTCATTAAACTCTTAACAGCATGAAGGATAGTTGTTTTAAGTTTTACTAATATTAACCCTCTCGAAGTTTCTTTTATGTTGATTCCAAATTACTGATTAAACCATTTTGCAATCCTTAAAAATAGAAGCCAAATTACAAAATAGAACCTAAAGGTTAATTATTTTCTTCAAAAAGGAATGGGAGTTGTGGGTGGAGGTTATATCATGTGGGAGCATATTTACCAGGTATTGTGGCCATCCGGGGCCTTTTATGACCGAGGTGGCCACGTGTCTTTCTTTCCTAGATGGGATATTCTGGGAGAAGGTATTGTTGCAGTGCTTGCTGCCTCACTAGTGGAATCTGAGAATGTCTAACACTGTGTGTGGCCAGCAGTGTTCTGGCACAGGGGAGAGTACCTTGGTACCTTTATTCCTTCCACTTTATTCCAGCGGGCAGAGCAGCTTTTGTTAACACGGCCCTCTTCATTCGATAGGCTGTTCCTGAGGGCCTGTGTTACTGACTGTGCCCTGAACCCTGTGGCCCTGCTTTGACTCCTCATTTCATTTCCTGTGGTCGCTCTGGATGTCCGGCTCTCTGGGGAGCCTTTCCTGGCTCCAGAAAGAGTAGATGTGTCTCCTGTGCATTTAGACAGCGTCAGAACCGCTGTACCAGTGTGCTCCATCAGAATAGGCCAGATGAAACCGGATGTGGCATCCGCCTTGCTCGTCATTGCCCCTGACCGCCTCTTACTACATGGCCACAAATATTTACTTGAAATACTTGTTTGTTTTTTGAGTGGATGCATGACAGGCGTTGCATGGCAAAAAGCAAACAAAAACAGGTCCTGATTCACTGTCCATTTTTGAAGACTCCTTCAGTTTGTGCATCTAGCCAGATTTGAAAGGCTGCTTTTGTTCATACATCTTTCATTCAGAGAAAAGCAGTAAACAAAAGCACGTCTGTTTTAATACAGCTTTCCAAGTTCTGCTTTCTCAGCCTGAGGTCGTGCTTGTGATTCTTCTTAAGAATTTACAGTTCTGCACCTGTCCCCACATCATTTTTTTTTTAAAGATCTATTTTATTTTTATTGGAAAGTCAGGTCTACAGGGAGAAGGAGAAACAGAGAGGAAGATCTTTCATCCACTGGTTCACTCCCCAAGTGGCTGCAACAGCCAGAGCTGAGCTGATCCCAAGCCAGGAGCCTGGAACCTGAAGCCTCTTCCGGGTCTCCCACGCAGGTGCAGGGTCCCATGGCTTTGGCCTGTCCTCAACTGCTTTTCGAGGCCTCAAGCAGGGAGCTGGAAGGGAAGCAGAGTAGCCAGGACATGAACCAGTTCCCATATGGGATCACGGGTGCAAGGCAAAAACTCTAACAACTAGTCTACCATGCCGGGCCCGTACTTTTTTTTTTTCCCCCAAGATTTATTTACTTGAAAGGCAGAGAGAGAGGGGTGTCCCTCATCTGTTGGTTCACTTCCCATATGACTAAGTGGCTGGGATCAGCCGAGGCTAAAGCCAGGCGCCAGGGACTCCACCTGGGTCTCTGATGTGAGTGGCAGAACTCAGTACTTGGGCAGCGTTTTGCTGCTTCCTAGGTTCACTGGCAGGGAGCTGGGCTAGAGGCAGAGTGGCTAAGAGTGGCCCTTAGATGTGCATGTAGGGAGCTGGGCTAGAGGCAGAGTGGCTGAGAGTGGCCCTTAGATGTGCATGTAGGGAGCTGGGCTAGAAGCAGAGTGGCTAAGAGTGGCCCTTAGATGTGCAAGTAGGCATACCGCATGGCAGCTTGACTTGTTGAACCCTCCCCTGTCATCCAGAGAAGCCCATACCCAGTAATAGTTACTTCTCAGTCTTTTTGTTACATGCACGTATATTTTCTACATATTTCACATCATAAATTAGATCATACATTAGAAAGCACTTGTATGTCTTGTCTTACGCTTAGCATGATGTCTAAAAGGTCCATCTGTTGAAACATGTTGTCAGTTTGAGCGTTTGGTGTGACGTAAGGGTTCAGTTATACACTTTTGCATGAAGATATCCAGTTGTCTCAGCAGCATTTCTTGAAAAGATTGTTCTCTAAACCTCATAGAAACTGAAGTGGCACTTTGGTTGCAGATCAATTGACCACAAACGTGGAGATTTATTTTTAGATTCTCAGTTCTGTCTTATTGATCTGTATGAATGAAATGCCAGCATCACAGTGTCCTAATTACTGTAGCTTTGTGCCCAATTTTGAAATTGAAGGCCTAAGTCTTTATTGCACTTCTCTCCCACCTTGAGATTAAATATATGTTTACATATACATTTTAGTAACAGTTCATTAATTTCTGCAAAAGCAAAGTTGGGGTATTTTGTGAAGACTGAGTTGTCTTAGTGATGGTCTTATTTGAGCAAGACTCCGGCCGTTGCGTATGTTTGACTAGTAGCGTAGATCTCATCTTGAGTATACGTGAGGTGTTATCTTGACTCTGTTGACTTTAGATTGCAAACGATTGAGAATTTAAAACATGCTGTTCATGTACAACATTCAAGGAAGTACTAAATGTTCACTTCAGTGAATATTTAGGAAGCAATAAGCACACCTGTGTAAAGAGAGCCCGGCTCTGGAAACAGACGCTGCCCGTGCGACCGGGGCCTTTCAGTGTGTGCATGGGTCTAGATGGTTTCCCAGTTGGCCCAGCGTGTTTATTGATATCAGGGATTGTGGACCTTTGCTGCCTGGGTTCGTTTCCCACTTCTGCCACACACAGCTGTGACACCGTGCTGCAGTGACTTAACCCTTGTGTGTCCTGGTTGCCTTGTCTGTAAGCTGGGGCTAACGCCGCGTTGTGGCAGCCGTGGGGTAACTTGTTGGGCGGTTGATGAACACAGCAGATGCCTGGAATGTGTCACTCGTGATGGTTCTTGCTGACGTTCATGTGTGCTTCTTCACGAGACGGCAGATGTTTCTCTGAGGTGCCCCTAGATACCCAAAGACTAGCACTGTGCTTTGCAGTGACCCCAGTACCTTCTTAGGCGAGGGAAGGACTTAGCTGCCGAGCGCGGCCCCGGCCGGAGCCCCGCAGCGTGGCCTCTGACACAGCCGCACCGTCTCCCTTTGCTTACAGCTTCTGGAGCTCTTCGACAGTGAAGACCCCCGCGAGCGGGACTACCTAAAAACAGTCTTACACAGAATCTATGGCAAGTTTCTTGGTCTTAGAGCATTTATCCGAAAACAGATAAACAATATTTTTCTAAGGTAAGTGGAGAGTTGGTTGGGGGAGGGGGAGGGAGGAAAAGCTCTAGTTGATATTTTTATACTCATATGAAGTAAACCCCCAATATTTAAACATGGCATACTGATTTGTCCTTTATCTCTCTACGCCTCTCTCCCTTCTTTATCGTCCTGCTTCGTCTCTTTAAGGTTTGTTTATGAAACAGAACACTTCAACGGGGTAGCCGAACTGCTGGAAATATTAGGAAGGTGAGCACTTCTTGACCGATTGCTAATCCCAGGTGGCTGTCATTCTGAAAATGAGGTGCAGGTGGCAAGTGGCAGGCTGACCTGGCTCCCTCGCTGACTGCACGTCAGCTTCTCTCATTTGTGCCTAGCATGTTTCCCAGTTGACACCAGCAGACATGGTTTCATGTTCCCCTTCTTCCACAATGATGTGCTGGCAGTCGCACTGGGGCAGCTGAAGGCACTAACACTTCATGAATTACTGTGGAGGAACCACGAGCACCGCCCCTGCGCTCGGGCCGGCTGCTCCGGAGCCGCTTCTCCTCACGTGACCTTTGCCGGATCTGCCCAGAGCAGGCTTCTCTCTGATCCATAGGAGAGCTTGCCAGTCCTTAGAAATCATGTGTCAGGTGCAGTTCTCGAACAGCTGCTGCCTCGGGCGAGCAGAGGAATTAACTAGGGAGAGATGGCTGCCACGGAGGCTTGCACACGCAAGGGAGGCTAGTGGGGTTGCACGGCTTTCTCCGGGGGACCTCCCTTTGCAAGGCAGGCGACTTGAGGAGCGGGGCGAGCACGCGTGCCTGGAAATGGGAAACGTAGTTTTGAAGGAGGAAGTGAGCGAGGCAGGTGATGACTTGCAGAAGAAAGAAAGGGTTTTGAGGAAAAAGCTTTGGGGAACGTTCTGCCTAGTGTTAATATTGGGCATTCACAAGCAAATTCATTTCTTCTCTTAAATATCCTGCCTCCTTAGAAAGCACTGTCTGAAGTAACTGCGAAGTCCTGCACGTAGCTGGGCTGGGCTTCAGACCGTTCTAGGCGCACAAACCGCAGACGTTGTCACGGGGGCAGCTCGTCTGCGCATGCGGGGACTTGCTAACCGACGTCTCTTCTGGCCCGCAGCATCATCAACGGCTTTGCTTTACCGCTGAAGGCAGAACACAAGCAGTTCCTGGTCAAAGTGCTGATCCCTTTGCACACCGTCAGGAGCTTATCACTCTTCCACGCGCAGGTAGAATTTGGTACAGCTCATTTTAGAAGCGGACCAAACACTGGAAAACTTTTCTGGTTTTCAGTTGATATTTCCTTACTTTTAAAGAACTCATTCCAGCTGAAAATGCTCCCGGAGGGAAACAGAAATGTGCGTTGTTTTCTCTGTGTCCAGGAAGGTCATGGGGTCACTTTTATGGTGGGCAGAGCATTTATCTGTCTCTTTCGTGGAGAAGCTAAATGACTTTCTCCAAGTTCACACAACTACATGTGAATAACAGTGCATAAAAATGTGGGTTTTGCAGATTTAGATCTTTGGTCATGTGCAATCATTTTTTAATATTCTTAACTGTTTTGTCCTATCCTCATCTGCACTTTGTTTTTTTGACTTTATTTATTTTATTGGAAAAGCAGATTTCCAGAGAGGAGGAGACACAGAAAGATCTTCCCTCTGCTGGTTCACTTCCCAAATGGCCGCAATGGCCAGAGCTGAGCCAATTGGAAGCCAGGAGCTTCTTTCTGGCCTCCCATGTGGTTGTGGGGTCCCAAAGCATTGGACTATCCTCTGCTGCTTTCCCAGGCCGTAAGCAGGGAGGTGGATGGGAAGTGGAGCAGCTGGGACAAGAGCTGGTGCCAATATGGGATGCCGGCACTTGCAAGGTAGAAGATTAGCCAGATAAGCCAATTTACTAGTCCCCTCATCCTCACTTTTAAATTACCCTATCAGTTGCCTTTTTGCCTCCTTTTAGTTTATTTACCATTTACTGCTCACTTTGTACACAAAAGTAAATGCCAGTGAAGAAGTTTGTTAGGTTTTTTTTTTTTAAGATTTATTTATTTTTATTGGGAGTTAGATATATAGAGAGGAGGAGAGACAGAGAGGAAGATCTTCTATCCGATGGTTTACTCCCCAAGCGGCCACAATAGCTGGAGCTTAGCCATTCTGAAGCCAGGATCCAGGAGCTTCCTCCGGGTCTCCCACGCAGGTGCAGGGTCCCAAAACTTTGGGCTGTCCTGCGCTGCTTTCCCAGGCCACAAGCAGGGAGCTGGATGGGAAGCGGGGCTGCCAGGATTAGAACTGGCGCCCACATGGGATCCTGGCACGTTCAAGGCGAGGACTTTAGCCTCTGCTCTATCATGCCAGGCCGAGTGTGTTAGTTTTTTTGCCTCATTCCTTTAAGGACACTCTGTCTTACTGCTGCTCTGATGTGTGTGCTAACCCTGCCTTGCATGGTGAGGGTGTTACAAGAGGGTAGATGAGTGATCAAGTGTACTTTTATTTTTATTTTTAGGATTTCAAACCTCTGACTCCCCCCCCGCCCTTATCCCACCTTCAATAGAAGTGTTTTGGGTTTGCTTCAAAATATGTTTTTCTAATGTTCATTCCTTTTTAAATGTGAAATTCTGTGTTTTGAGTAAGAACTAATTTAGACAGTCATCAAGACGTTGGTGCTTGTTAGGGCGGGTCTTGTACAAGTGTTTCACACCTCTTGCCTTGAGTTTTTGAAATGCGATATTCCATTTCGTGCTTCTGTAAAGGAATTCCTAGTGAGCCACCTTGGGCTCGGAGCTCCACATTCCCCCCGGGACAGGACAGCCTCCAGTATCTTGGCGGGCTGGCGAGGTCCCTGCACTGTGGGTGCCATGCCACACTGCCAGCCAGGTTTGTGTGATGGCCTGCTTCCCCCTGTGAGCCGGGACTGCTGCTTCAGGAAGCCCCTGGGGTGTGGCTGCGGCTGTGTCTAGCTGCGACACTTCACCTTCTGCTCCCCGTGAGCTGCCTGCTCCTGTCTCGGGCCCCTTCCTTTGGGGGGTGGGATGCTGGAGAAGGTTCTCCCAGTGAACTCCCCGGGAGCCTTCTTCTGTCAGTCTTTGGCCTGGAAAAGTAGCTTTTTATTTTGCTTTATACACATTTCATTTGTATGATAGTTAATTGAATGTGAAACGTATTAAAACCGAAGTCTTGGATCTTTTTTGGAAATTTTAGTAACACATGTTAAGAGCCTTTTATGAATGTAGAATGTAAAACTCTGTCTTTTTCTCTCATAGTTGGCATATTGTATAGTTCAGTTTCTGGAGAAAGATCCTTCACTCACAGAGCCAGTAAGTTTTTTCCCTAATTAAAAAAAAAATTTTCAGAGAAACTACTTTTCCTGGAAGTACATGTGAGAAATTATTCTTTTTTTCCCCTTCTCATTTTAGGTTATTAGAGGGTTAATGAAATTTTGGCCTAAAACATGTAGTCAAAAAGAGGTGAGTGCTTGATGTCCCAGAGCGTGAAGAGCTTGCTAAGTCCGGTGCTGAGGGTCAGGTGCAGGGCTCGGCTGGGCTGGCGGCCGTGGTCCCCTCTGAGCAGCGTGGTGGCCGCAAAGGCTCTGCTGCTGGTCATGACACGCAGCCTTAGCGGGGTGACACAGCTGCCCAGCAGGGATGACAGCACAGCGGTAGGGTCCGGAAGCTGGTCCTGGGCCTTTGCTGAGCTGCACAGCCTCAGTCAGCCAGTACGCAGCCAGCTGTGTGTTCACTTGTTCTGTTGAGATAACTCGGCCTGATCTGAAAACACAGGCGCTCTGCAGGAAGTCCCCGGGGCAGTGTCTTGATGGTTTTGGGCCTGTGTTCCCTGGTGCGTCCTGGAGGAGCACCAAGCACATGGTACGGCTGGGCCTGGGTGGCAGGTGGCTGCGTGTGCTCCACTGGGCCTGCGCGTGGACGCCAGCATCCATGCGAAAAGAACATGGGTTAATGCCTGGCTTATTTATGTCTGGTCTCTTTTTATCTAAGTTTTTCTTGGCTCGGAGCAAGCTTACCTTAATCCTTGTTGTTTGTAAGGATTCTTAATGAGGCGAGTCACCTGTTGTGTGTTGCTTGTACTTGCAGGTCATGTTCCTTGGGGAGCTGGAAGAAATATTGGATGTGATCGAACCTTCACAATTTGTAAAAATTCAGGAGCCTTTGTTTAAACAAATTGCCAAGTGTGTATCTAGTCCCCACTTTCAGGTGAGTTATAAGGAGAACACGAGCCAGAGGAACCTCCCCGTATAGCGTTATTCTGGTTAAACTTTCTTTGTGTTGAAAGTGATAAAATGGACACTAACGACTTCCTGGTTCTTGTTTACATTTTTCTCACGTGATGATAACTCCAACAACAGCTCCCTTATCTCAGGCACCTGGCACGTAGCAGCCACCACAATGTGCATTTGATGTTGTAAGTTTCCCGTAGTGCTTTGCTGGGAGAGTTTAATGTTTTTATGGAGTTAAAAACATGAACACCAAAGCTCAACCGTGGTAAAATCATTTTCCTCAAATAAATTGCTGACCAAGAAGTGAGCTGATAGGATTCTTACGGTGTGTAAGAGAGAGTACTGAGGCTTCAGGGGAACGTGAGAGCCCTAGCCATCTGCAGTGTCAGCTCCGTTACCTACATTATTGAAAAACTGAAACATTCTAGGAAGCCTTTTTGCCCGTTTTTCAGTGAGACTCAGAGATGCGGAGTGTTTTGATCCTGCCTTTAGCTTCCTGGGAAAGTCCAGGGCTTTCCGGTGGCACCACACTGCCTCCTGGTGGCCACGCAGGGAGAACACTGGGAAGGCGAACCTGAGGCTCTGTGCAGCATTGCTGTAGTAACACAGCCAGGGGGCAGGTCAGAGCTCTGTCCGGCAGCTCTCTCACCAGAGCACAGCTGACATCCCACTGCGGACAAGGACCTCTGTCCACTCGGCCTGCCAGTGCAAGGGGCTGGTCAGACTGGGCTGTGCTGTGGGAAGGCTCCTCGACGATCTGTTTCTGTCTGCACTGTGAGATCATCTTATAGACAGCAAGACTCTGCGGCTGCTCTGGTTTCACTTCTGACCTGAAGACAGCGTGTCAGCGCTCTGATCTCGGGCTTCTGGCAGTCACGCGTCGCATGAATAATCCAGATGCTAACAGGCGTGTCTGTCTCGGTGACAGCAGGACAGTGCGCAGAGTGGCGTTTGCATGTGATGCTCATGGGTCTGTGTGATGGGACGGAGGCCCAGAGGGGGAATCCTGGCAGTGAGCAAGCGCGTGTCTCAGAGGCTGAGGGAGGAGAGACAGGGCCCGGACCCCTCGCTCTGCTCCAGCCCGTGTGATCGGCCTCTCGCTGGTGGCTGTCGGGCCAAGGTGCCAGCTGCATGGGTGGCTCACGAGGCCCTGCATTTTGTCACTGGCCCCTGCCCGTGTTCCTTATCTCTGTGTGTGTAAGCAGAGAGAGGCGCCAGTCCCTTCTGATGTCTGATTAGGATCTCATCCTCGTGACCTTAGTGACTTCCGACCAGTGCTGCGTGCAGCTGGGGCCACACCAGGGCTGGGGGCTTCAGCAAAGTCTGTGGCACTGTGCGTTCTGAAACAGCTGCAAAAGGGTTACAGAATTTCCCTGCACCGAAGTAATTTTCAGTTTTGTTCACTTGACAGGCAGAGTGGAAGAGAGAGAGAGAGAGAGACAGAGAAAGATCTCTGTTATTTTACTCCACAAAAGCCCCCAGCGGCCAGAGCTGGGTCAGGTCAAAGCCAGAAGCCCCATCTGGTCTCACACTTCCTGGGTGCGGCAGGGACCCAGCTGCCAGAGCCGCCCACTGCTGCGTCCCCGGCCCGAGGGCAGGGAGCTGGCTCAGAAGCCGAAGTGGGTTCGTGTCTCGGACTCTCTGATATGTGATGTTGGATCTGCAGCTGCAGCTTCACTTGCTGTGCTACAGTGCCTGCCCCTCAAGATGAATGTTTTAAATTTAAATGTTCATTTCAAACACGTTTGTTTACGTATTTGAAAGAGTGACGCGGAGAGAGCCTGAGCGGTCTGTCTCCGCTCCACTGGTTCGCGCTGTCATTCTCGGATCCTAGTCCCCAGCAAGGCCCAGGATTTTTTTTTTAATCCAAATGAAAAGGTTCTCATTTTGTGATTGTATCATTCTGTCCTCTTCTAAAACACAGTAAACACAATTTCTTGATGTGTATGATAACGGGAAACAACCTTTTTTCTTAATCCATGTTATGTGGGGAATCTCTCTTAGAGATTAGAGGGTTTTTTTAAATGATCCTTTGGATTGGTTGATCCAGGATGAGCTGTTTGTGCCTCACACGCAGCGTTAACGGCTGTCCTGGTGAGCTAGGGGAGGCAGCCGAGCAGGGACAGGTGCCCCAGTCCCGGCCTGTCCAGGAAGGCGGAGCCTGGCTCCTAGACCTAAGCGCCCACCCTTTACTAGCTCTGGGAGCCTAGGATGGGTGTCCTGGTGCTTGCAAAAGTGACCGCAAAGATACCTGGGTCGTGGCAGCTGGTGCCGTGGGTGGGTGCCTTCCACCTGCAGGGCAGGCACAGTGCCAGGCCACGGGAGGCGCTTCATAAATGTGGCTGCTTTACAGAGATGGACTTTGCTCAGCAGGCAGCACTGAGTGCCAGCCGGGGCCGGGCTGTGGTTGGTTAATATGTGAGCTTCGATCGGGGGCCTGTAAGGCGGGTTGGATCTATTAGGAAATGCTGTGGAACACGGGCTTATGTAGACAACACTCTGCAGTCAGATAAGGAGAATGTGATTCGCAGGAAGGGACACAGCTTTCTTCTTCCACAGGGATGAAGTGCTTTGGGACATTGTGGAAGGTTGTTAGGAAAGATAAGGTGTGATTGATTGAAATCTGACTTTTGTGAATGAAAGTCGTCTTTTAAACTGCTTTTGCTTTGAAAGATTATAATTCTGGTCCATCTTTGTTTTTGTCCTCTCTTCGAACACTAACATTTTCTTTTTCTTTTCCCAAAGGTGGCAGAAAGAGCACTCTATTATTGGAATAATGAATACATCATGAGTTTGATAGAAGAAAACTCTAATGTTATCCTTCCTATCATGTTTTCCAGTCTTTATAGGATTTCAAAAGAACATTGGAATCCGTAGGTTTTCAGTTTTTTCATTATTTCTGTTCACGTGCTTGAGAAGCATAGGGGTGGGCGGTAGGGGTAGGGGACAGAGAGAGACCTTACTACATCCGCTGGCTCGCTCCCCAGATGCTCACAGCAGTCAGGGCTGGGTTAGGAGCTGGCTCAGGAGCTAGCAGCCAGGAACCAGGAACTCCGTCGGATTGTCCGCCTGCCGCACCAGGGCCGCACCAGGCCGCACCAGGGCCGCACCAGGGCCGCACCAGGGCCACACCAGGGCCCAAGCACTTGAGCCACCACCGGCTGCCCCCCAGGATGTGTCAGAAGGCAGCCGAATCAGACCCGGCTGGTCACAGTGGTCACAGCTGGGCCAGGCTGAGCCAGGCTGAGCCAGGCTGAGCCAGGAGTTCTGTCTGGGTCTCTCGTTGCGTAGCAGGAGCCCAGACGCTTGAGCCGCTCTCTGCTGCTTGTCTCAATCTGTTAGCAGGGAGTGGGGCTGCAGGTGGAGAGCTGGGGTGAAGCCAGCGCCCATGTGGGATGCTGGTGCTCCCAAGAGCAGCTTTACTGGCCACGCCGCAGTGTGGGCCCCAAATGCGCCTTCTTTTCTTTTTTAGGATTTATTTATCTGAAAGGCAGATATACAGAGAGAGGAGAAAGAGAGAGAGAGAGAGAGAGAGAGAGCGAGCGAGCTTCCATGCACTGGTTCACTCCCCAAATGGCCACAGTGGCCAGAGCTGAGCCTATCTGCAGCCAGGAACCTGGAGCTTTTCCTTGGTCTCCCACACAGGGCTGGGGCCCAGTGATTTGAGTCATCTTCCACTGTTTTCTCAGGTAATTAGCGGAGAGCTGGAGTGCAAGTGGTGCAGCCAGGACTTGAAATGGCACTCATATGGCATGCCAGCACCACAGGCAGAGACTTAACACACTACGCCACAGCATCAGCCTCCCCAAATGCACTTTGTTGTACATCACTTAGAACCACCAGACTCAGGGTTTGTCGACTATGTGGCTTACTTTTTATGACTGCCTTTCTCAGTGGTATCAGGAGCACATTTGTTGCAAAATGGAAGGGCAGTGGCTTTTAGCCTCTAGTCCGAAGCCCCCGAGCCCATCATGGTGCCTTCTCAAACATTGCCTGTGACCTGCGCCTCCAGTCGACAAGTCTGGGCTGCCACTCTGTGAGTGCCCTACTGCTCAGCCCGCAGCCCCCCTCAGCAGGTCCAGTCGTCTTAGCAGCGTGCACACTGGGTCAGCAGGGGGCGGAGTGGACGGTCTGACGCTGTCAACCTGCTGCCTTTACGGAGGCTCCGTGGCACCCTGAGTGGGAACTGCAAGTGCACGGGCATGCTGTTTGTGCCCGGGGCCCGCTGCTGACGCTGATGTATGGCACCCGAGGAGGCCCTGTGCTCTCACGGGTTGGCTGGCAGCAGGTGCTTGTCATGTTCTCAAATCTGAAAATTCTGAGATACTGCAAAATCTGAAACTCTGAGATTTCTAATTTGACACTCGGAAAGTTTTGTATTTTGGAGAATTTCAGACTTCTGGAGTTGGGCTGCTCGACGGATTAAAAAAGCAAGTCTATTCAGATATCTAAATCTGAAAACCTCTAGCGTTTGCACTTGTAGTCTGAGGTATTTCAGATAAGGAATACTCATGTATTCATAGAGTTTTCAAGAGGTACTGGGAAGTCTTTTTCTAGGCACTAAGGAAGCAAATTTATACTTTTTATTTTTCCCGATTCTGCTCCCACTAAGAAGGACGTTTGGCCTTGAACGGTAAAGAATAGCAGCCTCTTGAAGTGGAAATGAACTGTGAGTCATTTCCGGTAGCTCCAGCTGGGGAGGGGGGAGTGGAGGATGTGTGGGGAGGAGACCCTGCAGACAGGAGCGGCGCCTGCGCCTCCTCCGCTGGCACCTGCTGCAGCTGGCTGACCGGGCGTCTTCTCTGTGTCGCAGGGCGATCGTGGCGTTAGTGTACAACGTGCTGAAGGCGTTCATGGAGATGAACAGCACCATGTTTGATGAGCTGACGGCAACGTACAAGTCAGATCGGCAGCGGTAACTTTTTAGTTTTTCGTCAAATGTGCCGAAACGATTGAGTTCTCGTTGACTGCACTTTGCCCTACCTCTCTGTTCTTGCTGTCCCTGTTCGCTGGGTCTTTGGCAGTGCACCACTGGGCTTTGTGACAGTGTCCTTGTGACGGCGTCTGCCGTCCTCCCACCGTGCAGTAATGCTGCAGTTACGCTCGGGGCAGAGAGCCTGGCACCTAGCTGGTATTGCAGGCCCGTTTCAGGGTATCGTCAGGTAATTGGGCAGCTGGGCCACTTTCATTTTAAACTCGCTTGACCTAGAATTAGGCTTTCCTTCAGGCCAGCGCCAGGAGGGATCAGGCACCATTTGTCTAGGAATTTGGCTCCGAAATTACTTTCTGGTCTGGAACTCAACAAACACGTTGAAGTTATCTTTTTATTTAAAAAAATAAAAGATTAATTTTTTGTTGGGAAGTTAGATTTACAGAGAGAAGGAGAAGAGAGAAAGATCTTCCGTTTGCTGGTTCACTCCCCAAGTGGCCACAATGGCCAGAGCTGAGCTGATGCAAAGCCAGGACCTTCTTCCAGGTCTCCCATGGGTGCAAAGTCCCAAGGCTTTGGACCATCCTCGACTGCTTTCCCAGGACACAAGCAGGGAGCTGGATGGGAAGTGGAGCTGCCGGGATTAGAACTGGCACCCATGTGGGATCCCAGTGCGTTCAAGGCTAGGACTTTAGCTGCTAGGCCACGCTGCAATGCCCCCGAAACTGTATCTCTTGATAGAGAGAGAGAATACAGTCAGATAAGGGTGGACACCAGGATCCTGGCACATGCAAGGTGATGATTTGGCTACCATGCTGAGCCCAGAAAATTTCTATTGTTTTTTTAAAAAAATGTTTATATATCTGAAATGGGAAAGGGAGAGAAAAATAAGGCAGTTTTACCCATTTCCTGGATTGTTTCCCAAATGCCTATGCCAGCTAGCCTGGGCGAGGCCAGTGCCAGGATTCCAGGACTTAATCTCAGTGTTCCACGTGGTGGCAGAGTCCCAGGGATGGGAGCTGTCACCTGCGGCCTCCCGGGATGCTTGATCTCAGTGTTCCACGTGGTGGCAGAGTCCCAGGGATGGGAGCTGTCACCTGCGGCCTCCCGGGATGCTTGATCTCAGTGTTCCACGTGGTGGCAGAGTCCCAGGGTTGGGAGCTGTCACCTGCGGCCTCCCGGGATGCTTGATCTCAGTGTTCCACGTGGTGGCAGAGTCCCAGGGATGGGAGCTGTCACCTGCGGCCTCCCGGGATGCACACTGTTGGGAAGCTGGAATTGGAAGTAGAGTTGGGACTTGGGCACTCAGATATGGGAAGTGGCCATCCCAGGTTCACAGCTGTGCAGATAGTTGACCCTTAATACAATCTAAGCGACAGGGGAGAGGAACACGGGGCTTAGCAGTGTGCTGTTGAACTGTTTACGACCATAGGGGAGCAAACCCCAGTGGATGTCATTAAATTAATGATTTCTATTGAGATCGGGTTTTCAAGTATTACATACCTGAATGTGATGGATGGAATGATTATTTAACTCTCTTAGATGCATATGCCAACATTAATGTCTTGTTAAGTTGAAATCGGAAAAGAATTTGATAATATCCCTGGAACAACAGTGTGGGTAGGTTTTAAAATGTCTACGTTCAGGGAAAAAGGCGAGGAAGAATGAAGGCGGTGGTAGCTGTGTTGGAACTGATTAGGATAATTAAAGTTGTCAGCAGTATAAAGGTCATTGATTATCGTTAAACTGTTACTCAAAAACATGATGATGCTCAACTTTATTTACTCATTATTTATTTGAAAGGCAGCATTCAGAGGGATGTGGGAAGAGAGAAATCTTGCATCTGCTGGTTCATTCCCCAACTGGCTGCAGTGGCAGAGTCGGCTGGCAGAGTCCAGAAAGCTAGAACCCTGTCCGTGTCTCCCATGTGTGTGAAAGGAGACCAAACACTTGGGTCAGCTGTTTTCCAGGTGCATCCTGGGGAGCTGGTGAGAGGTGGGACAGTCAGGTCACCAGCTGGTGCTCATATGGGATACTGGTGTGGCAGATGGCAGCTTAACAGCTACATCAAAACATTGGCCCCTGCACACTTCACTCCAACTGCAAAGAGGACATTGTGGACCTGAGTTCTGTTCAACTATTTTTCAGTTGAATAAAGTTTCCAAGTCCTTGCTGGCCATCCTCTTTTCCCTTCAAAAGAGAAGGTTGTCTGCGTTGCAACTCATCGGGGTCTGGGCAGTTGATTGCTAGTAGGCAAGTTAGTGTCTGTCACTGACTCTTAGACTGGCACCACCTCTGGACTGTGTTAAGAAACAAAGATTGGGGCCAGTGCTGTGGCCTAGCAAGTAAAGCCTCCGCCAGCAGTGCCAGCATACTGTAAGGGCACTGGTTCGCATTTTTCTCTTCTCAGGCAGAAGCTTGGGCAGTTATACCATGGTGTGGGGGCCACTGATTCATATAAACCAATGCCCATTTGTCAGTCATTTTGAAATAAACTTTGTGTACTAAGTTCAATATAAAGGGTTATAAATAAAGAATTTCAAAGTACCCTTGCCATCTATTCCGTCTAGTAATGCTACTTCTATGCCCACATAAATGTCAAAAGAAAAAATTGCAAAATGCAAGCACAAGAGACAGAAACCAAAAAGAGAAACAGCCCTAAACTTGATGGCAACTTTTCAGACTTTCCGAAACATTCTTAGGGAAAATCTTGGCGGGGAGCAGTCACGGTTAGATAATCCCTTCAGGCCTTCTCAGTTGTTCTTGTTGTGCTTCTCTCTTCCCCAGTGAGAAAAAGAAGGAGAAGGAGCGAGAAGAGCTGTGGAGGAAGCTGGAGGACCTGGAGTTGAAGAGAGGTCTCAGACGGGACGGGATAATCCCAGCCTAACAGCGATGGCGCCCGCGGCACCGCCAGCCCGTGGAGTCACATTTACGTAGTAGAAGATGGAGCAGCAGTGTTCTGTGTTGTGCAACTTTACAGTAGATTTCACATTTGTTTCATTATTACAACAGCACTGTATATACCTGTCTCTAAGGAAAAGGAAAAAAAAAAAAATAAGGACTTCAATCCAAAGTTTGGACAGTAGACGGCCTTCTCAGAACTCTGCAAACGTAATCATTGTTCTAACCCTCTTTAAAACACACAGAAAAGCAGTCTTCAGAGAGCTGTTGATGAAATTGCTATGTTAAAATCCCATTATCAGGAGTTCCTTATTTATCACTAGCAGAGAGTATGATAAAATTTTCAAATGCGAACAATCTTAAATTTAGCTTGTCTTTCTGCTAAGCTGTTAAATGTATTTATAGTAAAGGAAGAAAAAAAGACCGCCATTTCCTCTTTAAGTTTGTGAAACATCCTCCTCTGAATGACTTGATTGCAATTCGACATCTTTTCCTTTTGCACATCTTCATGAGCTGAATGTCCGTGTAGAGGGGGGCCGGGAATTGGAAAGGCCCCGATAAAAAGTTTGTTTACTGGGGTGAACATCTTCCCAGTGACCAGGTGGTCTGGTACTCCTTTGTCTGAGAAATTAGGAGTCAAAAGAGAAGAGGTGATAAACATAGTAGGAAAGGGAATTTTGGATTCACGCATCAGTTTATGGTGAATCCCAATCAGTGTCTGGAATCCTTTGGACGCAGGTACTCGGCAATCAGGGGCTCCGGTACCTGGCCAGTATTAGTTGTACAGATCACTGAACACACACGTCCCAGACATGTTTTAGAAACATCACGTAAAACATCCTTTTGGACCATATGAAATAGGAAAGACAAACACTAAACTATAACCATGAAATTGATCACCAGGATTGTGAATCTAATCGGGAAAGAGTTGAGCAGACAGCTTGGGCTGTTTGCGGTTGTTGCCTTACTTTTTAATATGTGTTTATAAAGTATTCCAGCAGAAGAGCATGTAGCCTCTGGGGAAACAAACATGCCACAGTGTTTTTTGTAGATTCTCGTTCTCTATCTCATCACAGCGCCCACCCTGTTTTTAGCTGGAAAGGATTCAGGATAAACATTATGCATTCTGGATCGGATGCATATTCCTAACTACTGTATTTGTTACCAAAAGTGGTTCTACAAATGCTACTGAAAAAAAAAAAAATCTGGAAATCCCTAATGTCCTGAGTATTAATAATAAAGTTTAAAAATGCTTTTATATCAAAGGTGCATTGTGACCAAATTGTTTAAGAAAAAAAAAAAAAGGCAAAAATCTAGGGTTGTATGAGAGATGTATCTTTTGGCTCTCTGCTTTGTACTTAAAAGAGGAGTCTTCCACGCGGGGCAGGTGAATTCCTGGGAAAGCTCGTGTACAGCATGCAACTTGCTGTGGTTGCATCATGACGTAATGACAGGTGCACGTTCTGCAGTTCATTTCCAGAGCACATCTGCTCGTTCCGCACCGGCAGCAGCGAACGGACGATTCTCAGCCGTCCCTTCCCACAGTGTTCGAGTCACAGAGCTGATTCTGTGTTCATATGTTGAACTGTGGTAGTAGCAAACATGAACGTATGAGCTGTCGTGGCTCTTAAAAAAGTATAAATATGGGCCTGTATATTTTCTTTCTTCCGTGGAATTATAAAGTAGAATACACAGTTTTATTGTTTCCAAGAAAGAAAAAAAGAATTTGGCAATGAGCTTTCTTCCCTTCGAGGTGCTTCGGGGTTGACCAGTCGCAGTGTGGCCATACGAGTCAGCTGGTTTTGGCTATTGTCACCTAGGTCACTTTGTAAACTTGACATTGCAAATTCCTTTTAAAAAAAATGACAGTAAAAACACCAAATGTAACACCAAACACAACATGTTTTGTTGATTTTTTTTTTTCAAGAAGAATGTTAATAGGAATTCAGTGTGAAGTTGGCAGAGGCTGCTAGAATTGAAGAGACTTTTTAAAAGTGCTGGCGCAAAGGTGCAAGTTGTATGGAGTAAACGCACAGCGTTTCTTCTCCGCCCTTTCTGTTCTAGCCCTTCGGGTTTGACTCTGCATCACGTTTATTTCTGACGTCATCTTTTTCAGATAGGAGATGTTCAGGTCACAGGCTCATGAAGGATGTCTGCCCGTGGGAGCGAGACACAGTCGTTTGGAATGGGGCAGACGAGGATCTGTGTGCACCTTACCCTGTGGTCAGAGTGAAGGTGAAAACGACACGGCTGATCCCTGCTGTCAGTCAGCGTCGTGTGTCATTCATTCCTCACTGAGAAGACTGAAGCCACATTTTAGACATGCTTAAAGACACAATGTCTAAAATTCACAGGGCAACTTCTGAGAAGAAAACACTGTCTTTTCCTTTCGTGACGGAAAGTGACAATGTGACGTGTGTCATGTTGTGTGCGGTGACGCAGAGCGAGGGACTCTGACTGTTGCACTAAGGGACACACTCAAGGAGGCGCTTCCTACATCGGCAGCAGCCCTCCCTGGCCCTTCCCACAGTCTGCTGTTGCCGCAACTTGACTTCATCGTGACAATTGCATCTTTGTGTTGTGTTTTGTTGGCTTCGTAATTTCCAGAACTATATATAAATATATTTTTTAATAGCAAATATTGTAGTTAGGATCACTCCAATCCGGTCTCTACCATATTGGTTTTAGGGATTGGATTATGAGTGTCTTTGGGAGGAAAAAAAAAAGAACACACAACCCCTGTGGTTTAGAAGGACACCGAAGCCTTAGGCTGTGGGCCTAGAACAGCTGTGTGAGTGAATCGACCCATCTCATACTCGGAGTCAAGCATGCATGCTTTTTTTCTCATGGTGCAAATGTCCTGGTTGTTTTCCTTCGGTGTTAGGCCTTTGTCCTTTGTAAGTTTTATTGTATCTTGCTCTCCTAAACATCTCACTATTTTTTTTAATAAAAGGAAACAAAATTAAAAATAAATCAAGCCCTTGTTACCGCTGGATACCCACAGCAGGGCTATGCTGCTTCGTCTCGGGCTTGTTTGCCTGAGCAGAAGGATGTATTTGGTTTGATCCTGCCTTCTCTGCGTGGGGCAGTCCAGGGTGTACAGCCAGCAGTGACTTGTAATTGCACCTGCTATATACTTAAACACATAGCCCTAGGCGCAATCACACTATGGAAAGGGGAAAAAATGGGTATATTTAGAGCTTTAAAAGCTTTTTTATTTTTTTGTGAGGGCTGGGGGGCGGTGGGTGGGAAGGGGATTTATGGATGTGATTAGCAGTTTTGACTGTTCAGAGGTTCCCCACTTTTTTCCCCCCTTTAATTGTATGCACTGACCTGGCCCAGGAAGAGAAGCTTTCTCCCTTTTGATGCTATAACCAATGTTATCACCAAGTGACAGTCACCTGTGGCTAAAAGGTGGCACCAAATGTGATCAGTGAAGTTTTCTTTGCACATCGATATTTTTATTTTTGTACCTGGCTCAGCTGCTTCTCCGAGTTGAGGGATGAGTGAGCCACAAAGGATTTTTGTAGTGGGTATATTGACGATGCATTTTATATTGCTCTATATTTAATTTTGAAGATCTGAAAGGATTGTGCATCTTGAGAGAAAGTTGAGCAAATTCTGATCTGGTGAAGTGTTGGTTTGTGCTGCTGCTTGTGCGCGACAGCGACGGCAGTATCTCTTGGAAATAAACATCCCATATGATGATGTCCCCGCCCCTCCCGTCCTCCCCAGAGCTCTCTCCCCGCCCTTCCCGTCCTCCCCAGAGCGCTCTCCCCGTCCTCCCCAGAGCTCTCTCCCCGTCCTCCCCAGAGCTCTCTCCCCGCCCCTCCCGTCCTCCCCAGAGCACTCTCCCTGCCTCCTCTCTACTTTCTTCTCTTCCTTTTTTGTTAGTCTCCCTTCCTCCCTCTTTTCTTCTTTGTTTCTTTTTCTTTCGTTTTTTTAAATCACTTATTGTAAATAAGTTGTAATCCAAACCTCATGTATCAGTGGGGAACTTTCAAAATATAAATATTACCAATACATTTTCTGGTTGTTGTCTGATTTTTGATTGAAACGTAATGAGAATGACATGGCCATTGCTTTTGGTTGGAAGATTTTGTTTTAGCTTCCTAAATCTGGAATTTTAGCATTTCATTGTCTTAGCAGGAGAGGGCAGCAAAAATTCATGTTCCTTGTTACTAATGCTGTGGTTTATGATTGGTTTTGAATTTAGTTGTGTGTGTGTGTATGTGTGTGTGTGTGCGTGCGCATGTTTTAAACAGCATCTGTTTGTGGGTAGAGGTAAAAATGAAACATTTTTGATATGAAAAGTTGCATATGAAAATTATAGACTGGTTCAACCAGACTGCGAAGACTGATGTACAAAGTCAAAACACGACGAAACCACCTTCCAGCTCCTACTAAAACACGCTACTTTTGAAACACGGCAAAAGGAAAGCTGAGTCTTACACACCTGGAATTTCAAAAATTTTTCCCCCCTTTGGAAATGACTCACCTTTCTTCAACGTTGTTGACAGAAACAAGAATGAAGGTGCTCCCCCAAAGAAATGTAACCTTGCTCTTCCACAGATGTGTGAGGTTCTGTACTGTGGGTGCGTCGAAATAAAGCAGCAGTGGAGAGTTCTCAGGCGCCTGGCTGTTTTGTGTGTGTCTGACCTCCTTGGCCTTTTCCAACCAGACAAGTGACGGTCGGGCGGTGAAGGTGGTGTGTTCGGGCTTCCATCGTGAGGAAGTTCATTTAGGACGAGGGAAATGCAGTACTGGGCGGCGGCCCAGGGTCTTTGGTGTTGAACCAACTTCTCCCATGCTAGAGGCACCCCGATGCCCATGCCTCATTTAGAGTTTCCACGTTTGCTGAGGACGTGGTAAGAGCAGCTGATTTCTGGACATCATGTGGTCATCTAGAATGTCTTGCTCGGGGCGGGAGAGTTTCCTTTCCGGTCAAGTTTGTGCTGCTTAGCCTTAGGGTTCAGCCGTAGGGTCTACTTCCCCTGGGCCTCCAGGGAGCAACTGGGATTTAAGGGACAAGACCAATTGGCTGCAGCCTTGGGCCCGTTCTGGTCCATCTCATGCCCAGTGACAGGGCACAGGCCTCAGTGGGTATCCAGGACCGGCGTGTCATTTAATTTCCAGTCATCTGTGAAAGGGAGGGGCTTATTGTAAAGCCTTCGATTCCATTGGAATCTATTGTCTCTTAGCTAATTCAGTCATCCACAATTGAACGTGTGGAGATGACCAGTTGGTGTTGGATACTGAGTGGGCTGGGGAGGGGGAAAGCCTTGCAAATGCAAGCATTTTGTGTGTTACAGCTTCTGAAGACCTGTACTCGTTTTCTTAGTTTTCTTAGTTTTTCATTTCTCCCAACCATTTATGATCACTTTAAATCCAGAAGTCACGCACAATTTTTGTTAATGCATTGTTGGATATCTATGGTTTTTAGAATGCTTTAGGAGGGGAATTGTCTGATCTTAAAGTAAAATTGGTTTTGTGTATTAGCTGACCTCTTTACCTTTTGCTAGAGTCTAAATCAGTTTCATAGATTTCTTAGATTTTCATGTAAATAGTCATGTTACCTGAAAGTAGAAAATTTGGTTTTGATTTCCAAATTTTTATGGTGGTCATTTCCTCTGTCTGGACTGAGCATTGGGACTGCAGCACACTGTTGGCAGAGGGGCGGTGGAAGTGCCATTCTTACCTTACCCTGTGTTACAAGGAAGGTGACACTGCCCCATCAGATAGGATGTTGACTGTGATATTTTTTTTAATCAATGCCTTTTATGAAATTGAGGAAGTTCTTGTCTACTGCTTGTTTTCTGAAGTTTTTGGCAAATGACTCAAATATATTGAAATGATAATACAGTTCCTGTTAAAAAATATTATGAGTTATATTGAATTTCTGGGATAACTGCTGTGTGTATGTGTTGTAAAAGGATTCTAGTTGAGGGTATGTCTATGTTACTCAGTTTGTATTTCTAAGCGTATGCCTTTTACTGGATTTGGAAAACTTCTAGACACTACTGTTTCAGATTTGTTTTCTGCCCCATTCTTTATAACTTCCTTTTCTGATACGCTAGTTATACGTAACAAGCCTTTTGATACCGTATCAGAGGTCACTGAGATTGTGTGTGTTTTTTAAATTGTTGTTTTATTGAGCCAAAGCTTACATGACAAAAGTGACTATTTTGACACACTGAGGTATCTAGAACTTTCTGAGTAGTGTGCAACCGTCACTTCTTTCTACCTCCAGATATTTTTTCCTACT